ATCTCCCGAGCTGGCGCAGCTGACGTTGAACCAGACCATGAGACGAGTTGGACGATGGATGACAGAACACGGACTGCAACTCGCAACAGAAAAGACAGAACTTATGCTTCTCACGAGAAGACGCATACAGACGATACTACCCATGAGAGTGGGTACATACGAAACGGAGACCAAAGGGGAAGTCAAGTACCTTAGGGTAACCCTCGATACGAAGATGACCTTCTGGCCTCACATACAGAAGACAGCCCGAAAAGCGGCAGAGAGGATAACATCCTTGAGCCGCCTGATGGCAAACACGACGGGACCGAGACCAGGAAAGCGGTGACTGCTAATGGCGACAGCTCACTCGATCCTCTTATACGGCGCGGAAATATGGGCAGATTCCTTGAAGACAAAGAAGTACTGTAAGACAATGACGATGGTACAGAGACAGGGCGCTCTGCGAATCGCTTGCTCCTACCGAACAGTCTCTGCGCAGGCTGTCCTGGTGGTGGCGAGCGTAATACCCGTGGATCTTCTTGCCTCGGAACACAAAAAGATCTATGGGAGCAGCACAGACATAGGACGAAAGAACGCGGCAATCGTTGAACGCGAAAGGACGATCGACATGTGGCAAGACCGATGGACAGAAGAACGAGGTAGCAAATGGACGAGACGACTGATACGGGACGTGAGACCGTGGCTTGGAAGGAATTTTGGTGATGTGAATTTTCACGTCACCCAGCTCTTGACGGGCCACGGGTACTTTCGACGCTACCTCCACAATATGAACCGAGTACGAACACCCGATTGCAAGTATTGTGGACACGAACGAGACGACGCGGAACACACGTTTTTCGGGTGCGACCGCTGGACAAGACTCAGACGAGAACTAGAGACAACAGTTGGCAACATCACCCCCGATAACATTGTAGAGGTGATGCTGCATAAACCCGAATGGTGGCGTTTAGTCGCTACCTATACGGAAACCATACTAAGACGTAAGAACGCGGACGACTGTCTGAAGGACGACTGAGCAGACGGATTGACGCGACGTAACGACGCACGGTAAAACGATACGAACGAAGGAACACAGACAGAACCCCCAGTCAGAAGTAATATCAACATAGTCCCTGGCTGGGGGAAGGACAACAAGGAGATGGCGGTTTAGTGGGTAGGCCTGTCTTTTTTTTTGGGGAGTCCCACATACCTCCTTAGATCAAGACTAAGGGGAATCCGCAAAAAGGATTCCGCAACTCCTTGTAAAAAAAAAAATAATAATAATAATAATAATAATAATAATAATAATAATAATAGCAAGAATAACAATAATACTGATAATAGCAATGATAATGAGGAGAATTAATGTATAGAGACTGATGTTGATAATTAGCTTTTATTATAATTAGTTTATACGGAGCTGTCAAAACAACGACTCTTGAGAAAAATAATAAAACACTTTTTTTAATGCGATAGTAACAAAACAATCATACTGCGGCAACTTCAGCTTCGAACGAAGAATTCGTATTCAAACGTAGAACTCGGTTCGTCAAGCTCGCCACAATAATGAAAAATAATAATAATAATGAGAATAATATTTATTATTGAATTTAGATTTTTTGATAAATTCATTAAATCGTATCAAATAGTATTATTATGGAATTCCAAACTGTAAATATTTTACTATAGATAGAATAATCATTACTTCGAGAATTCATCTAAAAAACTTTTGGCTTACGACATAATTGTAACAATGAAAAACTCCTAAGTTTGACATCATTAAAATTTATTACAAAACAAAGAGGTTGATCAAATAATTTTATTAACCTATATTTTTTCATTTGCAAAAAAGTGTGGACTTTTTGAATTTATAAAATTATATAATTATGAAATTTATAAAATACTTTATAATTTATGAAATTACTTTTGAAATTATGCTAAGTTATAAAAGCAGAAAAATAAATAATCTTTGATTGAAATATAAAACGAAGCGTTATTTGTTACATACAAAATGATTGAATAAAATATCGGTAATATGTCTATACTCGTGTCTACGGTAAAGTATTGTAGAACAAAACATATTTAAACCAGAAAACGTGTACGTAGAAGCATCCAAATCTGGAAAATTAACAACAAGTAAGGGAACTAATAACAATTTTTACGTTCTAATATCGTTGAGCAGTTAATTAGTAAGTCTTTTAATTGCAGATCACTTCAAAATCTGGTTGGAAAAAATATTTAATCCCCATATAGGCCATCACTTAATATTATTACTTGATTCTTGGAGTGGTCATTGTGAGAAAGTTATAGAAGAAACGATGCCACAAAATAAAATTATTAACATAAAAAAAATTCCAACTGGAACCACAGGAAAAATACAACCACTTGATGTATATGGATTCCGTATTTGGAAAAACTTTGTCCGAACATTTTCTGATAATGTAATGTTAATGGATCATGATATGAATTTACATGTAAGAAATAATATAATTAAACTGCAACCATTGGTTCATAACCAACTGTCTTCACCGAGATATATAGATTTGTTTAAATATTCCTGGTATAAAAGCGGTTACGTCAATGAAAAACCAGATAAATTTGACAATCCTATAGATTTCAGTTTTGGAAAGTCTTGTGCAACACATTGTAAATAGGGAAGGGTACACAAACATTGCAATTGTACGATGTGGTTGGTGCAAAAAAGCATTGTGCTTTAAACACTTTTATGAGGACTACCATTGAAAAAACTTCGTAAAATAATATATTTTATGCTCAATACAAAAAATGCACTATGGCAAAAGATAAAAGATTGTAGATTATTATTATTATACTCTAATATTATAAACAAAAATACATTATAAGTTAAATTTACAATAAAGGAATTTCAATAACATTCTGATAATAACTTCTACGGAAATTATAAAACTACTTCACACACAGAATTTTCTTGTTTACAAATTTAGGAATTTGAGGTGGTTCGGTTAAAAAGCACAGGCATCTAGCCTATTTGTTGTTTAGGGGTTTAGGGTTTAAGGCTCTTTAGTTCACATATACAGGCTACAAAGATCACACATTCGTAAACAAGTTTTTATGAAAGTTAACATTTTTTTTCGACATTTTCGTCCACTACATTGGTTCCGCCATTCTAAATTTTCAAAATCTGATATCAGATTTGTAAAGAGCGATCTCGAAAACCTCTATATACAAACTTTCTACGAAATATTATGTATTGAATTACATATTTACAGTTATTTTGTGTTGTAACGATAAACGTCTTATTAGCGCTAACGGCCCAACCATGCGGCTGCCCGCAAGTGCAGCATCTACCGGTTGGGGAAAATGTGACGAGGGAATTCGGCACACGACGGGACGGAACGCGCGCGTATGAAAATGAACCAGTCGAGGATTTGCTATCGATACCTCCAGATTTGTAAAGAGCGATCTCGAAAACCTCTATATACAAACTTTCTACGAAATATTATGTATTGAATTACATATTTACAGTTATTTTGTGTTAGGGGTGATTTACCCCCCCTTAGGGGTAATATTTATTAAAACACCGAAAAACGTCAACTAAATTTTGTTATTATGGATATTTAAACGTTTTTTCCAATTTTTTTTAGTCGGTTTAAACTTAAATTCTATAAATTTGTTTCTAAAAGAAATAATAAGTCAATTACAAAGCTCTACGCCTGCGCAAAGTGTATTTCCGGATGACATCCTTGTAAGTTGTAACAATTAGTGGTAATTTGTAATTGTCCTATTATTTCTTTTAGAAACAAATTTATAGAATTTTACTGATGGTACAATTTAGACTACAAAAGGTACAATTTTTCTGTGAATTTATTTTTGCTTAATTATGTCTTTTATGTGAATAAATAGGAGGTGAATTATCGATAACGATATTTTTTAATTTTTATGAGAAATATGGTACAATAACAAATAATTATTTTTTTGAGAAGTACAATTAGACATACGTGAGATGTAATCATTTTTTTTATAAAATGTTATTTGTGTCGGGCTGTTTTCACATTGGTTGATTATGCAGACTCACTGCCCGACTATTTTGTTAAAATGGTGTAGCAGGATAAAGATTCACACGCATCATGACTGGACCTACAGTTTAAGGTAGAATCCGAATCACCGGAACCAGGGTAACAGACATTAAAATTTCATTTCTGAAAACCTTCACGTACGAGTATACGAGGCTCGAACCCACGATCTCTTGGACAAAATCGGTTCTTAATCATTAAGCCATCGCGACCCCTAGTTTGAATCAGTTATATTTAAGCTAATTAATTTAGTGAAGCTTAGAAATTATGTTTAATTTCTTCTTATTTAAAAAAAAATTGACTATTCTTATTTCTATATTATAAGTTCTACTTTTCCTTCCAATACATTTAAATACTTGATAACTATCATTAATACTAAGCCATGGAAATTGGTGTATAATCAATTCCATAGAAACTTTGATTACAAGATATGAATAAAAATGTGTTCTTTAGGGTGAAGGACACTTCGATACTTCAAAATGAATGGATTAAATAAATCGAACCAAAGCTTAAAATAGTTTAAGGGGGTATTACCGGTTATAACAACATAAAATAGGCTAATTTTCAATATTTTTGTTCTCAGTTCCTTTATTATATCAATTTGCAAATTTCCACATATGAAATATATGATTTGAAGTTTTCAAACAAAATTTTTTTAATTGTTTTCGTCGTTTTTTCTAATTTATAGTGTGCGTCGAAGTCAGTAGGTTAAAAAATCCCGCGTCCCATGGCGGACAGATAAGCTCGTGAACGAAGAATCTGAAACAAAAAAACCAAACGGCATTTTAACCCTTTGCACTCGGGACCTTTTTCGCGCGGCGCACCATCAACTCGAAGCGTTTTGTAGCGTATTTGGTGAATTTCTTACCTCTAGCTTGAAATGATTACACACATAAAGTAACACATAAAACTTTTATATTTTAATATTAAATGTATCTTTACATATTTAAGATGATAATTTCTCAAACGTTACTCTTTGTAATTTTGCATTGTATGATATTTGAGATAACAACTGCCTAGATGCATGCCCGGCTTGTCGGGACAAGTGTCACAATAATAGGTTGTTTGGTGTCGTTTGCCGGGCTTGCTTCTTCGAGAGCAGACTTTGCAATCTTTTCTAACTCCTGTTAGAATGCTATGCAGCTTTCCATTTAGGCGGATGTTGTCGGATTCGGCTGTTGAAGTCGAGGCTCGGTCGCGCGGCTGGTGGAAATCTCCAGTCAATTGCTTGACTAATGTCTTCAAATATTGTAAGTGATTAAGCGGCCGTTCGCTTCTCTGTTCTTTAGTGGTTTTATATAAAATATATGAATTTATTAAACAAATCTCCAAACCCCAAAAAAACAGTTTACGCCACCATTTGAGTGATTTTCTTAGGAAACAGTACGTTGAAGCATACTGATCGGCACGATCGACACCGCCCATATGTTTGGTGTAATCTATTATTACGTTAGGTTTCTTGACGGTCACTTCTACTCCACCTCGTAAAATTCGTTTTACACGCGTCATACCTGCATTGTTCCAGTTGGTCAAGCATGTGACAACCCTTTTGTCCTTCCACGCTAAAATTAATGTATTTTTTTTCCGGTATGCTACTATTGATTTTTTTCCGAATTTTATTCTTTTTATTTGTTCTGGTAGATGCTTCCTGTTTGTTAAGATAGTTCCTGTAAGGTGGCATTTTAATTTCAATAATTCTTCGGCCAAGATATAGCTCGTGTAATAACGATCGGTGAACATATGATGTCCTTGAGCACCAGGTAGTTTTTCCAGCAGCATTGAGTACAGATGCAATGGTATTCTCGTTGACACCGGAAGGTCGTGCCTTATCAAGCTGTCTGTTGTCAAACTTCCATAATAAGGAAGAATGCCACAGATGTAACCGGTAGTTGAGTCTGCCATCGTATAAACTCGAATCCCCCATTTGGTCGGTTTCTTCGGATTGTAAGTAATGAAGGAGACCCGACCTTTGAACTTGATCGTAGATTCATCCACACAAATTTCTCTTCCCGGTGTAAAATAGTTTAGAAATTTTGAATTTATGTAATCCAGGAAACAGCTAACTAGCTGTAAGCGTGTTCGTGGTCCTGCATCTTGTCTTTGGATTGTCTTTAGATGAAGCATCCAAAAAATCTGATTGAATCTGTCTCTTGTAAACTTGTTCGAATAAAAAGGAATGTAGCTGACATCACTCCGTGACCAATATTCTTGCAAATTTGCCAACGGCATTGTCCCCATATTTATTATAACACCAATAAACGCCCACATTTCTTCGATGGTTACATTCCGCCAATTTCGCCATATCGAGTAAGGAGATAATGTTTTTCCATCTAATTTTTTTGCGGCATAATTATTGGTTTCGATAACAATTTCATTCACCAGTTCATTAGTAACAAAGAGTTTTAAAAAATCCAATGGTTCTTCCTTATCTGATGGTGCGTGCGGTCCTGCAGTAGTGTCGCCGGCTATGAATGGTATTCTTGCCGGTGTTTCTTCAGATTCAGTGCAAGTAATCCATTCGGAACTGTCCGACTGTGAGTCTTCTGTAGTATAAGTATCACTGTCACATTCACTGTCTATTACTCGGATCTTTCGCCTTATGACACCTCTCACTTCGTCACTATCTTCACTACTGCTGTTATTCTCTGTACCTTGAAGCTCTCTGTGTAGACCCGTAATTTCCTCCTTGAGCATCGTGAAATCGAACTCATCTTCACTTGAACTTAATTCAGCATTACGTTCCATGTTTTTAGGGATCAAAAACTTTACATTCAGCAGTCTCTCTGCTACGACTGTCAGGTTCGAACTGATGCCGAAAATGCAGTCCGGTTCGTGGTTGCGGACTAATCCCAAATAAGAAAATGTTATCTCCATTTCCGTTTACACTTCTTAACATTGTATAGAAAGAGCGTAAGAACCTGCGTCGAACAAAGTAAACGAAAACAGTTAGTCCCGCGTATCGAGTTACCGCAGCAAACCAAGTGGTGAGCGAAGGTCACCTCTCGAGTTGCGGTAGCACACCCGATGGTGAGTGAGAGTCACCTCTCGAGTGCAAAGGGTTAAAAAGGAAGGTGTCTTACGTTGTAATTTACCACAATATTTTAAAAAAATCACAAGGAAAGAAAGTGGCGATAAATTGAAAAAATTTTTTTTTAAATCGCGTTTTTTTTCATTTGCTTATTTTTTTCAGGTTCACTTTTTGCTTATATTATATGGCGGTTCCAATATGGCCGCTCAAACCTAGAGATTTTTTTAAATTTATTATACGGGATATAATCCCTTATAAATATAAATAATAATACATAAGATTATAATAGAAAAAATTACAAAGTAAATACAAAAAAAATATAGTAACAACTTAACTATTTCATTAACAATTCATTTCACTAACAATTTTCAAAAATCGATTTTAATTTATTCAATTGTGATTTTAATTATTTTTTTCTGTCAGAAATAAATTCAGCGTTCAATTTTACTCCTATATAAATATATTCCTTATAGTATTAACGTCAGGTCGGATTCGGATTCAGCGACACGCAAAACTTGTGGGTGTCCTAATCTTATAAAAAAATAAAAAATATTCGCGATTATACCTTCAAATAACTTGATCGAGACCTCGTAGGGTTAAATGCATACCATATTTCGATTCAGTAACTTGAAATACCTATGAGTATCTTCATTTCCTCACTAATTGACTTTGATCAGTTAGTAATTCAAAAAATAATTATTATTTCCCGATTTGACCTTCAGATGACATTGTCAATTTTTTTTTATCTCGAGTGCAATACTATATTGCTATGTAAAATTGAACGCTGAAATTATTTCCGCTATAAAAAAATACTTAGAATCACAATTGAATGAATTAAAATCGATTTTTGAAAATTTTTAATCAAATCTCTAGGTTTGAGCCGCCATTTTAGATTTTTCAAAATCGCCATATCGTAAAAGAAAGTAGAGTGTAAAACGAAAATTTTGAGCTCATCCACGATTTTTTTGGTGATCTACGATTTTTTTATAGAGCCATTGTTCGTTTGACGTAGATCGACTCATATACAAAAGTAAGTATTTATCAAAAATTTCTTTTCACAGTCGTGATACAGGTTAGGAACCAGACTCAGAAAATTACAGCGAAATATTATGTACTGTAACAGAGTAAGATGTTTGGTGAAATACACGGTGCGAAGGTTTGCAGGAAAGTCTTTTCGTGTGTGTACGGATTAATACGAGTTACGTGAATATCACAGCGCCGTGCGTAATGGCACACACTTTAGCGACGCTATGTACGTTTTCCGTGGGCTGCCCTCGCTGGCAGCCGCATGCGCTTCCATTGCGCCGAATCTTGCACCTAGATCTTACCTTGAACATGTGCCCTTGCTTCCAGGCGAAGTCCCTGTTAATTACTGCCGGTACTTTTATTGTGCAGCTTCAACCTCACTCGGAAATATAGCTAAATTCTGCTAACTAAAAAGGGACGCGTGGGCACGAAGGCATATGACAGAAAAGAATATGCGAGTATGGAAATGGGCACTTTTTAAGGGCTAGTCAATGATTAGATTACTCGTTCGTAAATATCACGTCTTTATCTTTTATTAGTAAATGGTCTGGTTACAAATTGAGACCTGTGTAGCGATGATAATTACTAGCACGTAGCAGATGCGGACGCCGCTATATTATCCGCTGCCATATTCACGTAGCGATTGTTCGCCTACGGATGAGCTGTAATCCGCGCACAATTATATATCGTCGTGATTTTCGAGTTTGCGTGAGATCGGTCAGCAATCCACCTTTGATTATGCTTTATATTATACACGTAAGATAACGACGGATCACGTAGATGTGTTGCGCGAAGCTGGCCAGCTTACCTCGCGATGTCTGCTATTTCGCCGTCGTTCAGGTCTGCTCAATCGGGGAAGAAGGCTTCTCCTGTTCTTCCTGTGGTAACTGGTATGTTTATAGAAGGTTATGCTCAAGGTCTCATATCTTCTGAGGATCGCTCAGGATGCTTGTCTTTCTTTTAGGGAGAAAACGCACACGGTAGCCTTTATGTTCATCCGATGTCGAAGCTCAAGAGTCCGGAACTCAAAAAAGACGTGAGTGTATGAGAGCAGTTTCTATACTATTATCTGCGTATCTTTCTTCCGTACGCGACACATACTCTCCTTTTATAGCCGGTAGGTGCTGCCAAATTTCGAGATATATAAATATATATATATATATATATGAAATTCTTACACTGCCAAAGATAATTTTAAAGTTATATATATGCTTCATACATTACATCATTAAAATTTTGATTCTTTTTTTTTGTAATTGTTGAGTTTTCTATGTATAAAAGAATAATTATTTGTTTTTCTTCGTTTTTAGTGTAACGTTTGAATATATCTCGCGTTATTAAAATACTAGTTCGGACTCTTTACATTAAATTCGCAATAACGTCTCCGAGAAAAGCAAGAAGTTGACACGCGCGCAATCTAAATAATCAAAAGAAAATCTTTCGAGTGGCAAACCACGAGGCTTGCCAACTCGATGAGCTGCTTCGAAGTGCAATTGATAGCAATCGCATCTATCGGGGAGAGGCCCGACAGCGCCGCGATTAGTACTCAATTTGACTTCTCAACAATCGATATGTTTCAGGAGGGAAGATCTCTAAGGCTGCTTTTTTCTCATGAGAGAAATAGTCTCATGAGTTGAGCTCTTAGAGATCGTTAGGAAAGGAGTTCAGCAGGCTAACCACTGAAAAGAAATTCGTCTCAGGAAATAGCTGAGGCTTTATTTCTACACAGTGCTCGCGTTGCTAAGCAAGGTAGGAAAGTGAGTCCTTTTGCCGCAGTGACGAGCGAATTTATACATGCGAAATGGGTTCCTTTCTACGCTTGGTAGCCCCTACAACGCTATTTTTGTCTTTGACGCAAATTTTGTACACGTTTTATCGCAAAATGGCTCGATCGAAATTACAATTATGCGATTTAAAAAATTAAACTGGAAAAAATGAATTTTTTAACATAAATTGCATCTCTAGGAAAAATCGCCTCTTAAAGTTATAAGCTATACAATTTAATAATCAAATTACGCCATTTTTACAATAAAATTATGGAAAATTTTTACATGGAAAAATCGCTTGTGGTTAAAAGATTGTTATCCATATAAAAGATGATTAATGTTGCTCTCTAATTTTGAATAATAATTAAAAAACAGATTTGCAATTTTCTTTTTTAGCGGTTTAAAAATCAGCAAATTAGTAACAATCATAATCATCATTTTTACAGATACTTATGATCGATTTTCTATCTAACCGTGTCATTTTAATTGTTTAAAAAAATTATGAATTGTTTATTTATTGATAACTTAATGGGTAATTAGTTATCATAATGTCAAATTCTTGCTTTTCTGTTTCAATACGTCGAGATTGTAATCGTATACTCGAAATAACAATATCATTGTTTATTGCAAAATAAGTAACAAAGTTAACTTGTAGATTAGATTTGACTAACAAATATCGATTTGAGAGTTATCAACATGAAATTCAGAATCAGCGCATCAAATTTAACTAAGAAATACTTTTGTTCGTTTAAAAAACTTTATAATTAACGATTTTCTGTTGTAAACAATAAATTTTCCCACGGTCGTGACGTCACGCTCCTTATATGGTAATGTTTTCGCAGAGTTGCCCTAACACATTTGCATATACGTGTGAAAAGCGCCTTCGCTCAATTACCGATTTTCTCTAATTGTCTCGTGTGTGACGGGTTGCCGTTTTGCAGAGGAAAATAGGAGACAAATCAGACAGGACCATTACATTAGGAAATAATCAACATTTTAATGAACCCAAAATTTACCAAAATGAAGTACACATGCGAAGATGAATGCAAGGAGTAATTTTTATGCATCTGTATGTGCTTTTGGTTTTTAATTCATGTTTTATGCAAAAAAAACTTAAATTCTATTTTCAAAGCTGAATATCTCTGCCAGAAATGGGTTCAAAATAATCGTAACAAAAGAAAAATTTAGATTTTTTCTTATAGTTTTTTGTTTATATTAAATTTTCACTTTCCTTCATTCAGGGAAAAAAGCCGATTAAAATAGTAAAATTTTTCGAAAATAGTTCATTTCTCTTGCGTTTTTTAATGGTATAGCACTGATATGTAAAATTCAGAAATAATATTTCCTCAAAATACATCAAATAAGCAGCAAAATAAAAAAAAATCATCTCAATATCTCTTTTCGATCGCGATATTTGTGATTTTTAAATTTTTCTTTTATAAATCATACATAGTGCCTCGGCTATAGTTAGCCACACATTGGCTGACATTCAATCATGATTATCTTATTACTTAATTAAAAAAAAAGACTATACAATTTCATTTATTTCAAAACAACTCTGTATATACTTGAAAAGATGAGTACGACAATATAAGAAAGTTGTCAGCAAAAACAATTTTGAACACACGTACATTGGAAATTGGCCATATACAGCTTCTACTTCTTTTGAAATACCTCAAACACAATATAAGAGTAGAATGTAGCTACATCAATACAAGAGATTGTCAAGTGGAATTCACAGCTCATAATGGCAGACTACTTCATTGTCAAAGCAAGAATATAGACGAAAAAAGGCCTCAAGATCACAGAGGCAACCTGCTGGAATACGTAATGGCGACACTCGATTTAATGAGAGTAAACAGCAAAAGAATGCACTTTCGAGGAAAGTAATTCCAGATCATTCTTGGACCTCACAATCATCGATACATCTCTACTAGTATAATAAGAAATCAAAATATAAAGAAGAAAGAAAGATAGTAGAAAAATCAGCATTAATTGTTATATAGATTATAACAGTGTTACGTTAATGCACCGCAGATGAGCTAGCCGCTACA